TGTCAGTTTAGGATGGCCGAGCATGTGTCCCCAGTTATGAATGAATAGGACGTGCTTATATCACTTCCTGTTCATTCATGGGTTTCTGCATCCATGCTGTTTAGCCTGGATATTGTTTTTCTCTTGTTCAACCCATGAACTTAAGAAAATGAAACATGAATGACGTGTTTAAGATTAGCTTTCTTAATGTGATTGTTGGTATCTTTTTTTTTTTTTCTAAACAGCCTTTGACAATAGAGATCCTCTGATCCCAGTATCACCTTCTGTATTTTTCTTTAAAAAAAAATTCGTAATGGGCAGAGTTTTATTATAAGAGCCTATCGTGCTGCCCAAAACACTGCTCAATTGTTATGTAGGTTGATGACAACTAGACATGTAATTCCACAAAAAAAACTGTTTTGTTTCGTTTCTGATTTATTCAGATTTTTGTTTCCTTGTTTTTTGGATCAATCGGAGGTTTCGTTTCGTAACAATCCGATTTTTACTTTCGGAACAGTCACATTGCCTGTAAGGCAACCGCCAGCAAATAAAATCTGATTGGCCAGAAATAGATGTCTAATTTCGTTTGGCTATACGGATTCGTTCGCATTCGGAAGCCTTCAAATTCGGATGCATCTGAATGTCCGAATTTAACGACATTCATATGAGTATCTATTCGGAACGTAAAACAAAATGTACATGTCTAATGACAACCCTCATCCCTGCTACTTGTACTGGCTGCTTCTGTTATCTTTGCTGTTTTGATTTAGCTAAAGGTTTACCGTATTTTTCCGTCTATAAGACGCCCCCATGTATAGGACGCCCCCGACTTTTCTTACCCAAAATATAAATCAATATTTCCCATGCTTTTTTGCATAACTGATTACATCCAGTTAAAATTTTGCAGAGTAAGACAGCCGCTTACTGGTACCGGTATTAAACCGGTATTTTTTTTGTTTTCTGACATTTTTATGGGCTCCCTGTTGCATCTGGGCACTGGCTACACGCTCTCCGCAGCATCAGCTGACGTCAGGTACATAAGGCTCATGATTGGAGGAAACCTGTTAGCCTAGCCTAGATAGCCTAGCCTAGATAGTTTCACTCATGCGGCTAGTTTGCAGAGGTATCAGCAGTTTCTCAACCGCGGTTCTCCTCTTGGCCCCCCGTGTATAAGACGCCCCTCCATTTTTAGGTAAATATTTTTAAGAAAAAGTATCCTATGGTGTCCAAACTCTAAGAGGAAGTAGACCATTAAGGAGTGTATTTGGAGACAATGACGATGTATTACTTTTAATATAAGTAGTTTTTTTTTATTACTACTGTTCACTAAAATGTCATGTTTATTTTTTGCCTTCCTCAGTAATTACTCATATCCACCATGCACAGTGACAGATGAAGAGACAAGGACAGAAATTATCAATAGAGAGTTACAAATTTCCCAGCGTGAGAAGCAGGAAATTCTGGCATTTGAGAGTCACCTGGCTGCAGCTTCCACCAAGCAGACCATAACCGAGAGTAACAGCCTGCTCTTATCCCAACTTACAAGCCTGGATCCACAGTATGTCTAAGTCATTTTTCCATTGCATTTAGTGGCTGAGCTATTGGTATCATTCTAACTGTATTTGCTCTTTTTTGTTTTAAAGTGTATCTGTAGGCAAAACCTCCGCCCACACAGACGCATTATCCATTCACAAGTCCCATCGCAGCACAGGGACTCATAATTGTCAAAGGAACACAAGTGTGGTGATGTCACCGCATTTATAGTCGATTTATTGCCTCCTCTAGCTCTATAACCGAAGGTCTGTACCTCAGTATGGACTGGGGGCTAGGGGAATAATCAGGAGCCGGTGCCTTGCACCCACCATGCACTGTTCGTGGATAAAATTATTTGCAGGATCCAATGCAAAAAAAAATGCACATTGACATGAGTGCTTTTATTAATTTTATACATTTTTTACCAACACTGAAATATGATATATAGTCAGCTTTCTCTATTTGATTAAGCATAAAAATATTGCACATTGACTGCACCAACACCTTCAGTACATGGAAACATTTAAGGACCCAAGTAAAAAGTGACCTTCAATCTTTCCTGATTTTTGTTAATTCCTTGTTTCAGGGGTCCTCCTCGCCGTCCTCCGCCTGTTGCCTTAGAGCAAATCAAATCATTGAATCAGTCGTTACGGTTAGGACATCTGCTTTGCCGCAGCCGAAATCCTGACTTTTTGCTGCATATCATCCAGAGACAGGTATTTATACCTAGAGCGCTTAGCACAAAACACTTTTTGACACTGTTAGTATGTCTATATTAAACATAATACCGTGCTAGTTGGATTTTTAACAATTGCACAATTTCTAAGCGACAAAGACAACACAATTAATTTTATGAGATAATTTACTCCCATTCTTTATAATCAGTTCGGGTGTAATTGTTTGAGATGTAGGTGAACCTGTGCTTATCTTAAATTTGCTAAACTGGAGACATCTAAATCTGTTTGATGAAATTGTCAATCACATACCCTTTTCCCTTCTAGGGAACTGTAAAGCCTCTGGAATGCCAATATTCATTTAAGTTATTTCAGGATTTGACTCCTGAAGTTACCCTTGGCCCCACCGTCTCCTGCCTCGCTTTCTTCACTATTGGTTGGCGAGGTGGGAGGGGAAAAGGCCAAGTATTACTAAGGAAGTGAAGACGTTGTTTGTATATTAAAGCTCCTTTGCAGCTCTACAAGCTTAGTGACTCTTTATGCAGATACCCTCAGGTTTAAGGAAGAATTCCGGGCATGTAAAAAGTTAACCCTTGCAACAGTGCTACCCCTGCACTGCATGGGTTAAGTGCTCATTTTGGTCCAGGGTCTAAAATAAAGAAGACACACCCACCTGATCCTCTGTGGTGATAGCTCACCTTTCTCT